ACTGTCTTCCATGTATCGGGACAAACCGAAGTCACCCAACTTCACACAATCGTTGGAGGATACCAGCACATTTCTAGCAGCTATATCCCTGCCAAAAAAAAAAAAAAAAAGAAAAAGATGTTTTTCCATTTCTGATTACCTGTTTTCTTTAGCATTTCCCAAAATATCAAACTCTTTGGACAGGAACAAACTATGTTTCTGATTATGGTGGCTGTGCTAGGAGCACAAAAAGAGGGTGATAAAACACCTCTAATGCAGGACAGAATATCTTTCTGATGACAATGGGAATCTTGCACAAAGATTGATATCTCAAGTCCAGGGACTGATTATACATTTTGCACAAAGGAGTCACTGGATAAGGTGCCTCAACAGAGCCCTTACTCATAGGAACAGGGTTACAACTGACCGGGGGGGAGGGGGGAAGCTGTCTCCTTATCCTGCAAAGACCAAGAGTTTGGAACAAAGGTCCCTTCCTGCAAAGGAGGTGTCAACTCACACTCTGTGGTGGAGGAACAAAGATTTTCAGGGAGGTCAGAGTTAATATGGCAAGACCTGGAGGTTGCTCATCCTGGTCTGACTTGGCTGCTTGACTGGAGTTCTAGCAGGACACATTAAGGTGCTTGAACTGAACAACCAAGTAACAGCTTCAGGGGTGGTTGCTGCTTTTTCCCCTTTCATCGCTGCCAGGTCATTTTGCCACTAGCTTTTTTTTCCTTTTTCTGATGGAGATTTTAATTAAATCATAGCCTCTTGATACTATGTACTGTACTGTCCTCTGCTATTTTTAAAGGTAACACATCACAGACATATGGTTAATACACTTTATGGGAAAATATACACATTCTGCATAGGATGCATGCAATTTGCACATTGACAATTACTGTCAGTGCCATGGATGAAAGGCCTGTGGGCCTATTTCCTTCCCCCCACAGCTGTGCTAATGAAATTAAAATTAATTTGCCCATATGTGTGTGTTTTTAAAGTTCACTTGTTGGCTAAACACAGGCATTTCTATTTTATGGAAACATTTTAGGTTTTCCCTGATCTCTAAGTCTGTTGCTCTCACCGCTTTGCCTTCTCATATTTTGAAGATCACAGTTGATTTGAAGGTTGAAAAAAAATGCTGGCATAGCAAAACAACGCAACTACTGAAAGTAAGCATATGGCAAGTCAATACAGCAGGACACCAGTAGGTGTCACCCTTGACAAAATTTGTTTGTAACATACTCTGATGCATTCTTTAAAATGTATGAGGATCTAATACGGAAGTATCTGTATTCAGGAATAAGAAAACGATTAGAGGTCTTAAAATATCATTTCAATCTTGTGGATAAAAAATTGTGACACTCTTCCCATCATGACAAATCAATGAAAGTGAACCAAAAAGATAAATAACAAGATACAAATCCATGTTGTACGTGCCCCAGCTAGTGAACTAAGATCCAGTGTCTTAACTAGCCAGATGTTATCTAGTAATCTATAATCACGGTTTTCTCCTGAAGCCAAACATTTTCATACAGATAGTCTTACCTATGTACAAATCTTTTGCTCTCTAAGTAGGCAAGTGCTGTGCTAAGCTGGTAAGCATAGAGTATCAAGGAAGCCAGGTCCAAACTGTATTTTCTTACTTGCAAGAATGATCTCAACTTTTTGGACAAAGGAAAAAAACAAAAAGTTCAGGACAAATTAATGATTTTGGAGAAGACATCTCAAATTGCAAAAGTTACACATGTAGCAGCAAGCACCCCCTTTTTAAATCTTGAAACAAAGTTATCATGCAGAAAACATGCATGCTAGGCTAAAAGGGTGAGCAGAAAAGGATGAAGTTTTTACACCCTGATCCTGTCTTTTCTCATGGTCAGAGTTTACATGGTGTTGGACGACCAGGATCAGCTATTCCCAAACTCCAACCTGTTTTTCAGCTGAGAACTGGTTAAGTTGCTAGCATGAAAAAGACATAGCAGGTCATTAGAGGCCAATCTGAACACAAGGTCACATGAGCATTTTTTGCGAGGTATTCATTTCTCTATGTACCTGCACAGGTTTTGTTAGAGGCTGTGACTTAGTTCATGATAGGCAACAGCCAGTGCTGATTTTTCCTAAAACATATCTGTAGTAAAATGCAGTTATATTTCAGAAGAATGTAGTGTTGACTCTTGTTTTTAGGAATAAAATAAGAGTTGAAATGAAACTTGTGCACTGAGAAGAACTCCTAAATTAAAGGGAGAGTGTGGTAATTCCAAAAAAAATAAAAATAAAAAGGACTGGAAAAAATAGGCTACCCAGATTGGATAAATTAACCTGATTTAACTTAAATGTTAAATTGTTCAAACCTAATATAAACCATGACTTAATTTCTAAGCCTTTCATAAGTGTCTGACTTAGAGAAAAGCAGCCAGAATTAAAAATACTTGATTCCTCATCTGGAAGACAGACTATATTGTGCTTAGTATGTCTCTGCTGTACAGATTAACAAGGACAGTGCTTACTACTGACATACCCGTCACTAAACGAAGTTCAGAAAACTGAATGTAGTACATCTACAGTGCATTGTGAATTAATCTCCACTCACAACGATGCTATTAGCTGCATCGCTGGAGGTAAAACATCTGCAGACGGAAACTGCTTGCAGTAGACGAATCTTTAAGATATACCAGTAATCACCCACAGATGGGCTGTATTACTGAAAATGCTGCACAGGTTTGCACCTGCTATCAATGGCCTAATTTTAAGTGCAAAGAACTGCAAATAATTTTAAATCGTTCTACTGAAATGTGTTATTACCACCATTTTCTTTATTTATTATTCGTATAATGCAAATTACTACAGAAATTTTTTAGGAAAACAATTCCTGAGGTCGAACCATGTGGTTTAGATATATTTGCACATGTTGTTCATAAAGTCTATTTAAATTTTACCTCTTGGAAACCTTAATACGCTGCTAAATAATCTTGCTAAGCGACTGGTGCCATAATCACAAATTCAAAAAGATTATCGCTACTGTGACATTTATTGCACACAAAAATCACATTGTACAAAGCTGCTTCTAGGGAAGTCACCTGTTAAGCAGTACTGGGTATTAATACATCAGCCAAGAAGCAAACGCACACTTTTAGCAGTGATGGTTAATACCATAATAGTCTTACAAGTCAGAGGCATTGTAATTTCTTTGGCAAATAAAAGGTAAATAAGATCATGTGATGCGCCTTACTGTATCTCTTAACACAGAAGAAAAAGTAAATGGATACTCAATCTTATTTTTTACTATACTCTATAAAGCTTTAAAGGGAGCGGAGCTGTGAAATCAATTCTACACAATATTTTAACTTGATGCATTTCTATACAGCTCACTCAGTATGAAGCCCATGTACTGTAAATAACTGATACCAATATGCTTTAATATTCTATAAATCATGTGCATAACTTACTTGACATAGATTTTAGTTTTTACATTAGAGCAGCCATTCAATAGCTCAGAAACCATTGCTTAAATCACCTTGCTATAAAGTAGATGCAGTTCTTGACTTCAGTGGAGTTCTGCCCAATTCCACCATGGCTTAATTTCATTCCGTGATTCTGCACTATATTATGGCACTATGTTTGATGAACTTGCCTTTGAGTACAATATTCAGAAACCAATCTGGTATACTGAATCAGCAATTCTTCAATCACGTATATAAGAATCTCTGGGCAAAGAGGGAAGGCAAAATAATGTGTGTGGAAATTTATCCTACCTCCCCCAGCGTACAAAGCTCCATGATTATCCAGACTGGGTTTTCTGTAATAACGCCAATCAGTTTCACAATGTGGGGATGATCAAACTGACGCATTGTTACTAGAAAGGAGGAAGCAAGTTTAGTCATTAATACAAAGTCTGCTTATTAAGGCAATAGCTGTAACTTAAAAGTGTTCTTTGTAAGGAGAGAAATAAACAAGCATTTACTGTAGAACTGAACTGATGGTAATGTAAGGACATATAATCAGAATTATTTGGGCCCCAATTCACCAGGGCTGTGAGCACTGTTTCTTCATTTATACTGTACCTATGCAAACTAACTTGAAAGTATGGTTTGAACAGAAAGTATGTTTTGAGTAAATTATTCTGTTCTGTTTGAACAGAATAATAATAATATTCTACCCTTACTACACCGACATGAACAGCTACAGAAGGCAGGTTTCTCTGGCTATACTTTGACCAAGCACAGCACTCGCCATTTTTAAATGATATGAAAATGTAGCTTATGAATAATTCAATTGTTCATTTCTTATTTGGTAGAAAGGTAAAGACAAAGTAAAATGTTATCATTTAATAACCAAATAAAAATGCATATGAATGCCACAGTGTACTTAAAAAATATGTCATTTAAGGGCTTGCTTACAGCAGATTTTATGTGCCACTGGCACAATTAACTTACCATCAGTCCAATCAGTACAATAATACCTTACATGCGATACAGTGTACAAGTGTTTTACTAATGTTAGGAGAGAGATAATATTTGCTAGCTAAAGCAAAATCATGAGACTTTTGGTTGGGTTTTTATCTCATAATACACACAGCAAGTACCGTAATATATATCTTAAAGTAATGTCTCCTTTATTTTTGCAGCTCACACTTACAGGGGCTCAACCAAAATTGTTGACAGAGATAAACATGATTTCCCAAATTAAAATGGTCTAGAACAGTTCACATAAGATGGGATAATCATCATCGTCATCATCATCATCTTTCATTTTGCTACTAATGAGGTGCAAAATAATAATGTAAAAACACAGAGAGAAACTTTTGTAGCTGTATTCTGGTCAACTGAGGAGTGACCTGACAGCTTCTACATAGCTCCCATATCACAGCACTTCAAAACACTAAAAATCAACCATGTTAATTCTATCCAGAAGAATTAGTTTCTACACAATGGGTGCATCTACACGTGGGGTTTACTGCAAAGTTGACCAATTAGATCAGCAGTATCACAGAATCATAGAAGTAGGGTCGAAGGGACCTTATAGATCTTCAAGTCCGACCCCCTGCCTGGGCAGGAGA